GTCTCCAGTCTTGTCGAGTCTTTTTTTTTTTCCTTCTGTTTTTCCTTTTTTTTTTTTTTTTAATTTACAACCTTTGCTCTCTGCAGGTTCTCTTTGAAATTTTGTGTGTGGGTTTCTTAAGACGTAACCTGGGTGTCTGTGGTCATCTCTGCTGTCTTTCTGCTTATCCCTTGAGTTACCACTTTGCTCTAGGGCTCCTCCCCTGTGTCCACTGCAGATTACGTGGTACCTCCAGAGAGGTGGGGCAGGTTTAACAGCCCCAAAAGAAGCAGCAGGGTGGTGGCAGCAGAGCAGATATGGGAAGGCTCTGATACCGGAGCGTGGGCCAGGAGCATGAATGGCATAAAGAGATGTGAGGCTTCCAAGTCATTCACAGGGGAGCTTCTTGTAACTCAGTCACAAGCGAGGGAAAGATGTCCCGTGCTGGTGAGGGTGTCCATATTCCAACGCCCTGTGATGCTGCATGGCCTGGGGTCATGCTGCCTCACAGAGATCCTGAAAACTGTATCTTGCAGGATGCTCTACTATGCAAAGACAGTGCTTGGGGAGGAGGAAACCATATCACACCTCGAACTGTGTGCAGTTTTGGGCCCTTCAGGAAAGACATTGAGGCACTGGAACATATCAAAAGAGCAGCAAAGCTGGTGAAGAGTCTAGAGAACAAGTCTTATGAGGAGCAGCTGAGGGAACTGGAAGAAAGGAGGCTGATGGGAGACCTTATTGCTCTCTACAACTACATGAAAGAAGGTTGCAGCAAGGTGGGGGGCTGGTGTCTTCTCACAAACAACAAAAACATAAGATGAAAAGAAGCAGCCTCAAGTTGCACCAGGGGAGGTTTAGATTGGATATTGGGAAACACTTCTTCACCAACAGGCTTATGAAGCACTGGAACAGGCTACCCAGCGAAGTGGTTAAGTCACTGTCCCTGGGGATATTTAAAAGATGTGTAGATGTGATGCTCAGGGATATGGTTTATCGATGGACTTGGCAATGCTAGGTTAACAGTTGGACTTGTTGATCTTAAGGGTCTTTTCCAACCCAGACAATTCTATTCTATGATTCTATATGCCTGGTCATAGTGCTTCACATCTGGAAACACTCTGTTGCAAAGAGCTTGACATATTCTGGGTTGCATGCAGGTGACGTGACACCTGGAAGAAAGTGTGGAAATCCCCAGGTGTTTCAGTGATCCATGGGAACTGGGTGCACGCTCAGGCCGTGGCTTACTTGGCTTCTCACACCCCACGTCTACTCAGTCACTCTGAAGCCTGGTGAGGTCTGATAAATGACTCTTGACTCAGCAAAACATTGCCATATGACACTGCAGCGCTGGTACTGTGAATGTCACTCAGCTGTCTTCTAGCTGAGTAAAACCCAATAGATTTGTAAAGACCATTTGTAAAAGAGTCGCTGTGCCCTCATTCTTTTGAGGCACTTAATGGAAGCACCTCTGCAAATGGAATCTGTAAGGTTTGGCTCTGGTGTGTGAATTTAAATCCCAAGGAAGTGAATTTATTATCCTATGGGAAGGCTTTGGTGATGTGTAACAGTGTGGAAATTGCAGACTCCGCTGCCTAGTTTTGAGTTGTGTCTGCGCTGAAGTGGTGGCACTGAGAGGCCACAATGCCAGGGACACTGGGCTTGTCTTAGAGCCCAGTGTCGCCTTCCTGTCACCCATCAGCAACACAGCAGACTCTTCTCCAGCAGAACTCTCCAGCAGATGTGGCCAAAGCTGCATCCCCCTTTGCTATGGATGAATTCGTGCAAGTAGTTTAGACTTTATGGCCAGTCTCGATTGCATAAACTGTTGCAGCTGGACACTTTACAGCATGCCAGGCACTCCTTCCCTCCCCTTTCTCCCCACGTACCCGTTCAGCTAGCCCTGGTAGCTAGCCACTTCATGGATGCATCCAGTTTGCTAGGTGAGGACCTGGAGGAGCCAGGTTTCCAGCAACCCCAGTGTGACAGATTCCTCACGTGCCACTGGAGCTGCTTGACAGGCCCACATGGCTTTCCTTACCCAAAAGCCCTGGAAATGCTTTGTCCAAGGGACAGCTGGACTGTATCCTGCCATTGGACCCGTCTCCTGGCACTGTTGGGACTGCTGTCACTGCAGACACAGCAACACCAGGCTTTGTCTCTGTGTACAAGTCAAAGCTTTTTAGGACCCTTAGTGGTATCTCTGTTTACTCTTGTCTGGCATTGTTCTGGGTATCCAGAGATCTGCCTGTCCCTCCCTGCAGCCATGGATGCAGTCCTGAACACAAGGGCAGCTGGGGGAGCTAAGCTGATGTCACTCTGGCAGGGTGTCAGGCCACTTCTTTTAGTGTTGTCTTGCATGACAGCAATGGAGAAGCAATTTTCAAGCTTGTCCTTCACTCCCTGACTTGAGGTGGGTTTTGGGGCAACTTGCCTGGCTGCAGCACACTTCTCTGGGAAGCAGGACTGCCAGTAGTTCTGTGTGATGAACCATCGTGCCTGTGAAAGAAGATAATCCTTTCCTTGACTGAAGCATGAAGAGATGAGAAACCAATGGATGAATTCAACAGGCATTATGCAGAAGTGCAAATCCATGAGCATACCCTTTGCCAGTGCATCTTGCTACCCACCAACTGCCTCATGAGCCTCGCCTGACCTCACCAGACACAGAGCTGCCAGGCTTCAGGGTCAGGCTCTCTGCACCAGGATGGATCCAGCCATCCTGCTCTGGTGCCTGAGGTCTGCAGTAGAGTTAAATCACTTTGTTCTCTTCCTCTTTAGTCTGCCATTTGCTCTTGAACTGTGTGAAATAAATAAGCAAATCTGGGGAGGATGAGTATCTCTGAATTCACTGCATCTAGAGTCAACACTAATTCTGTCTGGAGGCTGCCCACGCTTTGACCTTGTAGGTCTGGCCCACAAGTGTGTGCTTTAGCTCTGCAGTTTCTGAGTAAACACTCCATGTTGTGCCGGAGGCATGTGGTGTTCCTCTTCAGAAGAGCCCTCAAATTGTCTATTTCCTAGCCTCTGCAAATATACATGGCTCTCAGAGGATACACAGCGATGGGCTGCAGCCACTCTGCCTCTGTGACTTGTGTCCCCCTCCCCCAGCTCGGGGGAGAACGGGTCCCAGGTATGCACCATGCTATGCTGGCCACAACCTTCCCCTCGGCCACGGCAGAGAGCTGGGACAGAGCTGCCCAAAAACGTCCTGCCTGCAGCTGGGTTGACAGCAGCAGGAGCAGAAACCCCAGGCGGAAGATGGGCAATGCCTTTGTGTTGTTCACCGTTGAAGTGTTTTTGGGATGACAGTCTCACCTAAGCCCTTCCCTAGAGTACAGAGGAGATGCTGTCTGAAGGTCTGCACAGGAGGACTGACAACACAGGGAGCAGCACATAGCCAGACCATCTCTCACTTGAAGAGCAGAAGGGGGCAACCCCTTTTGCAATGGGGCTGTGTCATGTCCTCTAGAGATGTGGAAAGCATCCAAGGAAGGAAAACAGGGCAACTCTGAACAACTCTGAAAAATTAACCAGGCTAATGGAGGAGAGCGGGGGGAAGAGCTTTTAATGAAAAGCTTTTAATGACAGCAGCTGCCTCTGCCTCTGGGCCAGAGGACGGTGGCTCTCCCATCTGACCAGGCATGGCTGTTTTATGCTCTTCAGTGTTGTTTCCAGCTGCAGCACTAAATCTATCATCAATGGCTTAGGCGTGCATTATGGTGCTGTGGTGTCCCACTTGGTGATGCCAGAAATGTTCAGAACTGTAAGAGGTGTGTGGGGGATGGATTACATGACCAGCTGGCCAAGCACAGTAGCCATGGCACTGTCACAGCTCCCAGACTCGCAGGATGGTCACTCACCTGAGGGAGCAAACTTGACTGTCTGATGCACCCCAGACCTGTACCCCGAAGCCTGCAAATGAGTTGTGTGAGTATAGTAGCAAGTCAGAGCAGCATGATCCCCTGTGGGTGAGCACAGATCTGTCCATGGAGGGCTTTAATTCACATTGACGCACTTTGCAAAGCTGATCAGAAATGTCAGCCGGTCATTCTGTAGAAAAACAACACCTGATGCAGGACTGAGCTGCATTCAGGAGGCAAGTCCTGGATTAGCCAGTGCCCTCTGCTCTCTGCCACTGCAGGAAAAGGAATGCCCTTGCACACCCAAGTTGAACAACCTCATTACAGTTATTTTGTGGAAGGTGAGTCAAGTCCCATCTGGTAGAAGTGGGAAACAAAAGAGCAGATGGATCCCCAAGGACTGCTGATGCACACTTACACCGTTACCGTGACTGGATTGTGCCCTGCCACAGTCTCAAAGGCAGCCTTGACACCAGGAGCAACCTAGACCTGAAATTTGGCCACCGGCTGGGAAACTGCAGTTCCCAGAGAGCATTTCTGGAAAACTAGTTCAGTTTGGAGATGGCGTTCAAGCACTGGAGCAGAGATCCGGGTTTCCTTGCAGTCAGGGTGTCCACTCAGGCTCTTTCCATGCTCCCGTATGTTATCTGGGATGATTCCCTTTGTGAAAGGTTCTTGCATAGAAAGCTGAATAACATCTAGCACAAAATGTTATTATTTTAAATTCACATCAGCTCTGGGAGTGGTGGTGTTTTTAGGAAGCTGGGGAGTTATCTTCTCCCACTCTGAAGAAACTTTATTTTCCCTTTGCTGATTTGCCTCCTGAAAAAAACACCTGCACTCGTTCAGTGCCTTCTTCATGGGATCTGTGTGTTCTGGCTACTCCAACTTGGTCTTTCTCACAGGAATGTGGGTGAAATAATACTCACAGTGCAGAGCTCTGGTTTGTTGATGTGGATTTCAGTACACTTTCAGTAGCCCTTTGTGAGAACTGACTCGTGCTGTTTTCCCTCAGCCTTACATTAAAAAGTGCTGCCGAAGTAAGATTGTGCATGTCATTTTATTATTCACTATCACTAACTTAAATACGCATGCAGCACAGAGAACACAGGATCAATTAATCACCTGTTTCTAGTCTTGGGAGAACTACCAGAAAGATCAGATATCTTGACACTCCCCATCTTTCAAAATTCGGATGTCTTGCCTGGTTTTCCTAGAAAAACATAGGAAAAAAAGAGTAAGAGCTGAAAGAAATACACCCAAGTCATACTTGGCTCCCATCCAGCCCAAGGAACAGAGCTCGCTATTACAGGATTGGCTTGTTCATTTTCCTGTCTAAAAAGCAGAGGTGACTGCAAGACATCCTGGTCCACAGATGTCCCCTCCCTGGGTGTGCAGCACTGGTGATGGGTCTCCAGACCAACCTGCTCACAGCCAGGCTGTCCCCAGTGTGAGGCTGTGGTGGCCACAGCTCTGAGCCCTAACCAGCACCACCAAAGGATGGAGACTCCCTCTACCTGCATGGTGCACCACCCTTCCAGGGAAGGCCTTTCCCCCGTGTCCAGCCTGTACCTGTTGGGGCTATTGCATCACCTGCGACCATGAAAAAGCATGTGGCTCCATCCCATTTGCAACCATAGGCTGCTGCCCAATCCCCACAAGCTTCCACTTCCCTGGGCCAGCTGGATACAGCTCCTTTGTACCTCCTTGCAGCTTCCCTTGACAAGCTGGTCATCCCTCTCTTCTTGCAGCCCAGCGCACAGTTTGTGTTATTTTCCACGCAAATGCGCTGCTGACCTGTGTTCAACCCGATCTTCACCCCTGGCCCCTTTCCAGCAAGAGCCCCTGCTCAGTCCAGTCAGTTCTCAACCTGGGTAGATTCACTGCCCCAGAGCAACTCTTCTGCTTCTCATCATGTCCCTGTTGCTCTAGTCCACAAGTTTATGGTAGTACCTTTGGTCTGAAGTTCTGCCAAAAGAGCCACGAGGCAACAAGTGGGTGTTTGCATTCACAGAAGTCCTTTTGAAGGACTTGGTGGTGCTATTTCACTGTCCAGACTAGATGCTTAGTTGACATTTTCGCCCATCTAAGTTCAACTCTGCCTTCTCTGATTACAGACAGCACATGGTGGGACCTTCTCTCGTCCTCTATGGAGCATCTGGGTTGTTGCCAGCTTGCAGGCACTCATGTTGAGTGTCTCCTGGCCATGGACTCCTGCCCCACCTTTTGGATCTGCTAATGATGCAGCCACAGGGTGGTCTGATTTAGCAAGATGATCCAATGGATTAATATTCAGCTCTTCTGTGGGATTAGTTCCCTGCCAACACAATGAGCTAAAATCCTTCAGCCTGCAGTGGTTCAGGAGCCACTCAC